GTGAAAAAGATATTAAAGTGAAAATTTCGTTTTAAATTTTTTTAAAACCTTACTTTTAGTATCGTTCAATTTGGCAATTTTTGTATTTTAAATAGGTAATAAAAAACATTGAAAACATAGCATCGCCGTTAAATAGGATTACTCATTTTGATTAGTGTAATACTAAGATTCTAAGTTGTACAGTGTTAATGAACTACATTAATGTACATATATACATATGTACATACCTGTGTACATATGTATTGCATACCTATAAATTATATACAATATAAAATATGCAGAATGTGCATATATCTTGTTTCCGTTTCCTATTTTTGCGAAACAGATTTAGGTGGTAAAAGTGATGACGATATTTATTTTAGATACTTTCATCTATGGTATATATGAATGTATTAATATCAGCTTAATATGCAAACGAAGTTAATGTAAGAAATTTAAAAAATTCCGTAAAAAGCGCATATCTTGCAATAAACTATTCTCAATCAGTATAATGTGAAAGTGCGAAAAAGTTAAATATATTCATACATCTTTATATGTATATATCCATAAGTGAAATAACAACAATAAAAAATAAATGTTCTAATAAATGTGAATGTATGTTCATAAATAAATATACATATATTTGAAAATAGTGTGATGCTAAAAAACACACATGTTCAACGAAAAGTAAATATTAAGTGATGTTGTTAAACACCCTTTGAAAGTGATTAATAGATATATATTTCATATCAAAAAAAGTTAACGTTCGTAACAACAGTAGCAACAGCAGCAATAATTATAAAATATCGAATTATAAATATTAATGGACGATTAGTCGGTTGCTTCTTCCGTTCCTCATAATTTAATCATAATATTATTTCTACCATCCCTCCGTTGTTACACTTTTTGTCTGTAAATCAACGCACTTAAAAACCAGCAGAAAATAAATAAAAATGAATTCAATAATTAATTTCAACAATTTACTTACGTCTGATGCGAAGTGGGAGCTGCTTTAAGAAATACGGAGCCATTTATTTCTAAAATAGTTCACAACATTTACACAAAAGGACTCAATTCGCTCTCCCGCTCTCCTGAAAAATCTCAGGTCAACCTTAAATAGGTTAATAGCAAAATATAACCACAGCAAGGATCATTGTAACCAAAAGCAATTAAATTTGCTGGGATCAAAGGTAAGTGCGACTTGCCATATTAACAAAGGTTCAAATAATATACTATAAATTAATTTAAAAGCAAAAATATTGGTAAAATGAAGTAGATTTTAAGAGGTCGAGCATATTTTCAACGTTTTTACCACAGATTGTAAAGCAGTTGAATAAGACCCTAGTAATTTGTTTACAGCTACTAAAGCATACATATATACATATGTAGAATTACACTGGAAGTTAAGCTGTTGTGAAGTACATATTTACATAAATTCGTCAGTGTAAATTGGAACATAACATCCAACTCTCTCTCTCTATTTCCCTTCACCTAACATGGTTCTGTAAATGAGAATTCAGAGAGAATAGTGCCGAATGTGTTTCGTTAAGTTTCCAAATGTCATCCACTCCGTACAAATAAATATATGAAAATACGATAAAAACAAAAAGGATAACAAATATTTTTGCAAGTTCACAATGCTCTCGGCGCACTTTTGATTTTAAGTATTATTATTTTTTTATTTAGTAACAATATATAACCTAGTAGAGGCTTTCTGGGATGGGAAATATTGTACGCAAATAAATAAGTCTATGTCTTCTTTGATACCTACATATGTATATACCATATTTCTTTGTCGTCATCACAAATAATTGATGGTTAGACTTACAAAGAAAGATATTTGGCAACTTAACTGTAAATTATGAATATCCTTAAAGGAACTAAAATTTTTAATTGCAGATTTATAAAAGCGGAGGGCGCTTATTGAAAATGGCGCCTCGGATATAGCTATAATCCAAAGCTAACCCGCGACATCCATGTGCCTCATGTAAGAGTTTTTAATCCATCCGTTTTTATTAATACTTTTTTTTTTTTGCAAATATATGCGCTGTTATTGTGTAATTACTCGTTAAAATAACTTTGATAGGCCTTGGAAATCTGAGGCTCTCACTGCTGGCCGTATAGACAATGACAGAAGATTCCGACTCGATATCTGAGGAAGAACGTAGCTTGTTCCGTCCCTTCACCCGCGAATCGTTGATTCAAATTGAAAAACGCATAGCCGCTGAATATGAAAAACAAAAGGAGTTTGAAAGAAAAAGAGCCGAGGGCGAGGTGGTAAATACTTTAATTTGACTTTGTGTTGTAAAATTACTTAACTTCACAATATGTTTAAACTTAATGTTCTGTTTCTGAATATAAAATCAACATCTTACGTATATTTGTGCATACACTTTTTATCTCAAAGTTTTATTTATATTTTTAAAGTTATTACATATTCTTTACAACTAAGTAAAACATAGTATTCAACGTTATTCAAAATGGATTCGTTATATACATCAGACTTCCCCAACTGATAATGTGTAACCATTAGTACTTCATTACCGATTTTAACAATTCATGATGGTTTACACTTTTTACAATTGCACTGTACAGTTACTGCAACCAGAACATACATAGTGTATGCAAATTTTCTCTTAATTATCGCAAAATGTCTAAAGTAAGAAAAAAATTACAAATTGATTTGTTATACCTATTCCTCATATAAAAGATTCCAGTGTAAAATTATATATAATTATAGATATATATAAATTATATCAATTTAGAGAAATACTAAGAACCTTGTATCTATGTTATAAAAATTAGTATATATGTACACACCGTTATGTGATAATGACATTTTGCAAACCTCTTGAATATTCGTATCTTTTAATAAAACGGCAGCGATAGATATTTGGTGTATTCAATATCCTTAATTTTTTATATTATTATTTAAAAAAAGCCCCGCACTTTTTGAATTTACGTAAATTTCAAATGCTTGCAATTCAAAACTGTTTTGACCTAATAAAAAGAGCTTCTACTTGTAACTGTATTATAAAATAGTTATTTGCGTGTTCTATAAAATACTTTTGTTTGAAAATACTTACTAATCCTAATAATATACTCGTATATGTAGATAACGTCATTTACTGTTTTGGAAACACCAACTTCTGTGTCATATGCTACTAATTTAGGATAGATGTTAATTCTTTTGCAAATAAATTAAGCATCTTAGTCTCTTCACATGCCCCTTCATAATTTTATAACAAGTATACATTAATGTCTCAATATTACAAAACTCGATGGAAATTTCTTTACTAACATACATATGTACAATATACATATGACTATTCATTCGCTGTATACTTGTATTTTATTTTCCTCAAACTCATAATTTGTGTTAGAATCGAATGTAAACGTTATTTTTGCATATATTTGACATTGTTTGGTATATGTATATAAAATGAAATTATTTTATACTATGTAATATGAATTTGACTACTTGTCGATGTATATACATATATATATATATATATATATATTTATATACATGTTTCATTTATTGTTTCACATACTTTTTATGGTTAAGTCAATGGGTTACGTTTGAAATATATTTAACAGTGAAAAATATATTTTAACAAATTACTCTACAAAAAATATGTAAACTCTAATAATAGCTTTATATCTATATTGTTTCTGTTAAAATAATTGTGGCGATTAAATCATTACCCATATTTAGCATATGGTGTCAATCAGTTCGTTACAAATTATTCATTTATGAGTAAAATGACATGTATTTAAGAATTCTTGATAAGTTTAACAGGTTGCTGGTGAAAGTTATACACATAATTTTGTTTCTTATTTCTCTCTTTTTCTCTATCTTTTTCTTCCTAATATTATAACCAAACAAAACAACTTTCCCTTTTTTCTATTTTCTCTTTTTCGTGGTTTCATATTACCTCTAATTGAAAATAATCAAATACTAATTAATGATGTTGTACCAACTAATACGACATCACTCCCGAATAAATTATCATCGTACCGCTTATCATTCATCGGTTATTTTTTAAACAAAATCTCAATACAAAATTCATACCGTTACATTTCAAATCCCATTAAAATTTTTCGATAAAATCTTCATTCAGCCGCAATATGGTCGCAAGAAAAAACAAAAAGAAGTAAGACTTTTCAGAAATAGTAAATCCATTGTTTTATTCAAGCTGCTGTTTGTCTACTTTATTTTATTCTTACATACATATTATATGCACTTCTAATTCCTACTCAAATAAGCTTTTACTTTTTATTGCCGATTTAGGGTTGACTAGTATATGTATATAAAAGTCCTATCAATACGGTTCAGGTTTTAATCTGAAACTTATTTTTGCCTTACTCACTCTTAGTTCCGAGGTGTTTGAAAACAAATTCGAACCAATAAGTCCTAACCATACACACTTCAATTCATTTAATTTACTCAAATAGTTATCTCTTCATTCTTCTAAAGGAATACACTTTGATGAACTGAAAACTGTAACTTATTAGTTTATAGTTCTTTATATCTTTTTAAATAACAATTTTATTGAAACAATATTAGAGAGCGATTAAAATATGTCTTACTACATTCAATATATTAATTACAAACATACACATTTTTATACTAACGAATGCATGTGTCATGATCATTTACTTTTTCTTTCCTATATATCTAATAGTTGTAACTATACTTTTATTTATCATTTCAAAAATGTAAGCAAAATTTTACGTGTAGAAAAGTGTCTATTTTAATCAATCATCCGTAATAATAATCTGCCGAATTCTGTATACTTTGTTAAGGTATTAAGAATGCTAAGCCAAAGAATATATTATTTGTTAAATATGTGTTTGTATCTATAAATAATTGAAGCATATGTTTAATTGCATAATTTGGGAATTTACAAGCTAAGCTTTTTGTATTTTGCAAAATGGCGATATAGCATTTTCATTTCACGTCATGACATTATTGTGCATATGGGCATACTTACATTTATACTGACACTCAAATCACAACGAAAATATGCTAGTGATTAGGTACTTACGTGTTTACCCAACAACCTATACTTGCATAAGAGATGTATAGATTTACGTATACAAATATGTGAGTAAGAGTAAATATCTTCCAATATACAGGAATAGTTTAATATCTTACGTGGAAATAATGCTTTCAATTTTCTACTTATGACTTGGAAATGAAATTTTAATTAAACACAAATTAGTTAGTAAACCTCAAGTCCTACCTTGATATTAGAAAATACTTTTCTTTTGACCATACTACGCAGATGTCTGAGGATTTAGATTTGGGGTGCAACAATTTCCAGCACTGTTTGCCTAATATATATGTATGTGTATTATATAAATGTATAAGGGCGTACAATAAACATGCATATAGCTGGGTAATGTTGCATTTAATAAAGTGTTATAACATCGCAAATTTCATTCGCTCCGAAAAAGGTACAAATTTAAAAATTCTTAAGAAAGTAACGGTTATGTGCAACAGGTAACTTTCAAGTATCACGTTTTCTATAATAAACTTTATTTGTAGTAAACATTTTTCCTATTGCAGTTGTCCACACTTATGATTTTGTTTTCATTGCAATAGAATATTTTCATACTTAAAATTATAACTGCGTCATATTAGTATATTTTATTCACTTAAAATTTAACTATTCACTGCTAAAGCCATCATAAAAAATATAAGATTTAGCTTAGTATACCATAAACCAGCTATTGATATACATATGTATGTATGTACTTGTATATTCTTATTTGAAAATTAATAATGAAATAAAATGAAGTACGTATAGGAGTTTTCTTTATAAACAGTGACTAGGGCAAAGCTCCCATGTGTTTTGGTTATATAAAATACCACATTGACATTCATGAGTCATTATACACTGAAATAACGCACCTATCAATCTTGTCAAAAGAGGAATTACTTGAGATTTATTTATATATGTATTTTACAAGGATATCAGCAATAAAAATTGTATTGTGACCAGGAATTTATTTGGATTAAGTACTTGTATAACATATAACGAAAGGCTAAGTTCCGACTATTCATGGCCGCATGTCCGTTGAATGGAAGAAAATTATCCATTGATTATAGCATCGACTTCTTTTAGAGGAAATGTTATATTTCACTAACTACTAACTCAATCTAGGCAATATTTGATACAACTCTTAAACATCGCCATTTCTAATCGGCAATATCTTCCTCTAGCTCTCACATGTAATTTAAATGACATGTTTTATATATATTATTAATAGGCGCCCTCCGCTGCGCTCCGGGACGCTCGCTTCGCTCGCTCGCCTACGTCCGCCCCCCGCCGAGCGCGAGCTAGCTCTAACTCGCTCTTATGTTAGTTGATTCTCGACAGCAGCAGAAAACTTTTATATATAATAGAGAGATATTATATTGTATATATTACAATATAAACTACGGATTTTAGTTTATTCGGTTGACTTTAAAGCGAAGGCGAATTCTTAAAGGATAAGTAATATACCAAACATTTTAGGTTATTTGGTGCGTTTAGACGACCGGATCGGTTGCCTGATAACGATTTGTATTTTTTATATTATTATTTCCAGAAACTATGTGAAAATATATAGGGGTACATAACTTTCGTTTTCTTCAAAATTAGTCATTCCTTACTGATTTTAAATATGACAGTGGACTGTTTATCGGTATTATTTATAAGTGTATAGTTTTTGAAGCATTATTTGAGATTCACTTATCAGTAAATTATTTTGTACGTGTATGTATGTACAGCAGACAGTAGCTTTTATTGTCATTGTATAAGTACAATATATTATATAAATGTGCTACGTTTGCAAATTTGTGTTTATGTCATATTTACACCACTCTTTTGCTTTAGCTTCTTAATAGAAACAGATATTTTTAAATATAAATGAGTTTCATATTTTTCATTAAACCTTTGAAAACATTTTACAATTCTTACTCAAATTCGTGATTCGGCCAAAAAGATCACAGATATTAATTTCGAAAACCAAATACTAATAATAATATTAGGAATCAAAATTGTTTAAATCTATTAAAATCAATATTCTGCCTTAAAAAAATCCACCACTTAGTTTTATGTTTAATTACACACTTTGATCTAATTTCAATTGAATATGATTACACTTATGTATTTTTGAGACTCATATATGGTATTTGTATAGTAGAGTTTGCCATCAATCTCACATTCGCAATTTTTACTAATCTATAATTTTTAACGTATCTTCTGTACTACCAAACATTCTTACAACTACATCTAATGGAATATTAAAATCGAAAATCACAGATCCGATATGATGACGAGGACGAAGATGAAGGTCCACAACCGGATCCTACACTTGAACAGGGCGTGCCAATACCTGTTCGATTGCAGGGCAGCTTCCCTCCGGAACTGGCCTCCACTCCTCTCGAGGATATTGATCCTTTTTATAACAATATACTGGTATGTAATTTTAATTAGGTTTGGCTCTGAAGCATTTAACACCTTTCTTTTTTTTTTGCAGACCTTTGTAGTTGTAAGTAAGGGAAAAGATATTTTTCGCTTTTCTGCATCCAAAGCAATGTGGTTGCTCGACCCGTTCAATCCCATACGTCGCGTAGCTATTTATATTTTAGTGCATCCGTTGTTTTCGTTATTTATAATTACAACTATTCTGGTTAACTGCATTCTGATGATCATGCCAACGACGCCAACAGTCGAATCCACTGAGTAAGTATAACCTTCCAGTAATTTATATATCCCCATGTTGTACGTTTTTGGCTAAAAAGGAGAGTAAGTGCATAAATGCGTACATATTTTTTCTATGTAAACATATACACGCAAACATGTATTGATATAGGGCTTCTGTGATAGTAGTACTTGATTACTACTCTTTAATTTAAACTCTACAAAAAGTACACATACGCTCATGTATATTATAAAAAAATTATTGTATACATGACTAATATAGATGAAAATTTGGAAAATAACTACATGTATGTATAGATACCCGAATTAAATCTAAGCCACAAACAAATTTATTTAGACTTGTCATTTATTTGATTTAGGATAGTGTTTATTAGTCATTCTCTATTAGAATAAAATTATAAATGTAGCTAAATTGTACGCGTTAATGTTTGTGATCTTCTTATTATATAATATATATATACATATGCATTTATATAAACACACATAAGTAAATGTGAAAGTAGAATGATATATTTAAATTAGAACTCGAAATATGTATAAAAGTTTGATATAAGAAAAATCCAATATACAAGTAGAATTTAAATATTGCTTTTATGTCGTACATACAATTTTTAAAAAGTAAATTAGAAGTTTATAAATATAACCATGATTATGGGTACAATATTTAATACAAATTTGACCTTATTAAGTAGTTATCATTAACATTCAGACTTTTTTGCTGGATATATGTATTTATATGGGTTTTTTACCCACGAACATTTACCATGTATTTATTTATGTTCATCCTCAGGTACACATACACATATGTACATATATCTGCATAAAAGGAAAATTTTGCTTTGACATAATGTAATTTAAATTAGGATAAAATGTTAAGTGCTAAAAAATTGTAATAACTTTTAAAAAGTAGTGCTTATAAATAACATACAATAATATATATAGTACGTATGTATGAAGTATACCCCTTGTTGGAATACATATCATTTCAAAGAAAAGTATAACAGTATAGTAAAATCTCTTATCACAAATGTAAATAGTTTTCATATAAGATTGTTACATTTTGTTAGCTTTTCCTTATAGTATATATTGAAACTTAGATGGTAGGAGACCGTATTATATACTATAGCAATTTAAATGGTTTGGAAATATATACATACATACACACATATTATTTTTTGAATATTTAATTTCTTTACCAAAAAGTTATCCTAATTAATAGAATATAACTATTTAATTAATTTGTAAATAGTAAATATATTAAAAATTATTACTCACTGGGCAGCGTAAGCAAACACATGCAGTTACTATTATAAAACAAATAAATGTAAAATTTTGTAACAGTCAACTTTCATAAAATATACAGCATAAAATATTCATTAAAATTCAATACTCAACAAGTTTGTAGTAGAGCGCAAATAAAAATATACATATACTCGTATTCTTGTACAGTTCTCCAACCAACTAGATGCAAAATAATGTAGCCAAATTGTAAAACAAATATATGATTTGTGTTTCAATAAAACATACATATGTATTTATCTACGTAGAAATTATGTTCCTATTAAATGTATTAGAGCGGCGAAAAAGTAACGTCATTTTTTTAGCTGATGTCAATATTGTCATCGTAGATTTTGTATTTGAATGAGTACCCTAGCAGTTGCGGATAAACAAGTGGACCTGAAGTAAACAACGGATCTAAAAAAATACTGTTTATTCAGTCTTCATAATCATAAAATATTAATTACATGCTGGTGAAGAAAGTATTCTGCAATTTCAGCTAAAGGCAAAGGTCGCCATCAAATACAAACTAAATTAGCAAAAGAAATTTAAATCAATGTAAGAAAAACATATTCAATTATCACTTACAATATTTACTACTATTTTATCTAAGCTTTGGAACATACCTTAGTAAGATCGAATTCCGACTTCACGCGCTCTTCTAATTTTAGATATTTATATTTACATATACACGTATGTATGCACTAACACAAGGTGGATTCCAATTTCTAAATGTACTATTATCTATCAGAAAGATTTAATACAATGAAAAATATAGTATTTATATGTATACGAACACTATTACTTATAAATTAGCTTTCACCAGAATCAGCTGAAATATATAGGAATGTCTATATAATTGAATAGATGTATCTAACCTAATGTGTTGAAAGTTCCCAGCCAAATAATTGTTGAAGGTATTAGCTAAACACATAATTTGATGATTGAAATATTTCGACATATTAATAGTGCTAAAATCCAACTAGTATCTATTAAACATTTATTATGCTAGGAACAAGTCATATGTTACATAATTAATTTTTTCCATAAAACATTTTGTTACTGGCAATTGCAATGATAAAAAAGTGTTATATAAATTGCATTTAAATAGGTACTTTGTAAGTAATTTTAAGTCAAGACTAAACGATTAAAAATAATTAAAATATCGCATTTATAATAATTATACACAAAAGGTGAAACATTTAATATGAAGCTACAGAAAATTTAAAAATTCGTTTTTAGGGTGATATTCACCGGAATCTACACATTTGAATCAGCTGTTAAAGTGATGGCACGAGGTTTCATTTTATGCCCGTTTACGTATCTTAGAGATGCATGGAATTGGCTGGACTTCGTAGTAATAGCTTTAGCGTGAGTTTATAACAATATATATATATATTTTTTTCATTTGATTTATCATAGCGTATTTTTAGTATTATTTTAATTGTTTATTGATTTTTTAACTGTGTTTAGCAATGCTTATTCTACGTTATTTTTTTTGTGAATTAATTACATTATCTGTATTAAATATACATACTATATACAAATGTATAGACGGAGTTACATATTTTCTGTAATTTGATCACAATTCATACTAATTACTAAAAAACAATCGCATTCATTTTTCGTTTGCACTTTGACATCACATTTTTTCCGAGGCAATATCAAAGTATTAGACAACCGGATTAACTTTAAAACTTCATCATCATAGATAAAAATGCATATAACTAAGACCGATACTCATCGAGTTCGTAATTTGTTAAAAAAAAATTGTATTGCATGTTCTATCATTAGTCGCATATACATAATCATTACTCATGCATATACCATATAATTAAATATATGTATATTCAATAGTTTTTACACCATACGGTCGGAATCTTTGATCTAAGTTATAATCTTTATTGAAATATGTGAATGATTTTATATTTTCATCAAATATAAGAAATCCATCTTAAAATGAGCAAAGTACTTACATCTTTTGAAACATTTTTATTTTGAAAGTATTAAAATTTTATAACAATTTATAAATATATGTAATTGCTCATTGTTTTTGCAGTGAATGAAAAAAGTTAAGTTAATTAAAGTTTTATTTGTTATAAGAAATTATGAACATCTCCAGAAACAGCATCGGATTTCCAGATACGATTACACACATTTTTTAAAAAAATAATATTATACATACACTTTCATTTAAAGCAGTTTCTTTTATGTTCACATATAAACACCCAGAGCGTTTTCAGAACTCTTCGTTTAATTTTGTAAGTGGCATTTATCACTGAATACAGCAGCTCACTTATAAATATTACATACCAAAAATGTGTATTTCTTCTTAATACTAATAAAGCGTTTTAATTTTATTCCTTCATTTATGATACATATTGTTCGCACTCGATGCTCCTCTGTAGTTATGTGACTATGGGTATTGACTTAGGTAACCTCGCAGCATTGAGAACGTTTAGGGTATTGCGTGCACTTAAAACAGTAGCCATCGTGCCAGGTAAATAAAAATATTTACTTTCTTTTCCAATAGGCTATATCTGGGAAATGTAGATGTTTGCTATTATATTCAATTCATCTTTCACTCTTACTATAATTATACTCTTAGGTTTGAAGACTATTGTTGGTGCTGTCATCGAATCAGTAAAAAATTTGCGTGATGTGATAATTTTAACAATGTTCTCGCTGTCAGTATTCGCTCTGATGGGGCTACAAATTTACATGGGTGTTCTAACACAGAAGTGCATTAAAAAATTTCCCTTAGATGGTTCATGGGGAAATTTGACTGATGAAAACTGGGACTACCATAATCGTAATAGTTCGAATTGGTATTCAGAGGATGATGGTTATTCCTTCCCCCTTTGTGGGAATATATCGGGTGCTGGGTGAGTTGATGCGTCTATGCCATCGATAATATACATATGTATACATTGAGTTATATTCTATTAATATTTTTATATATTTATTAATATGCAGGCAATGCAGTGATGAGTACGTTTGTCTGCAGGGCTTTGGTCCTAATCCAAATTATGGATACACCAGTTTCGATTCATTCGGTTGGGCTTTCCTCTCGGCGTTCCGTCTAATGACACAGGACTTTTGGGAAGATTTGTACCAGCTCGTTCTTAGAGCGGCTGGTCCCTGGCACATGCTGTTTTTTATAGTCATCATCTTCCTAGGTTCATTCTATCTTGTGAATTTGATTTTGGCCATTGTTGCCATGTCTTATGACGAATTACAAAAGAAGGCCGAAGAAGAAGAGGCTGCCGAAGAGGAGGCGATTCGTGTAAGTAGTACAATGCATGCGAGTAAATATATTCAATTTTAATTTGGCACCGAGCGGCCAGGCTCGAGCAGGCCGATTAGAGTGGAAATATTTACTCAACCCATTGAATGTTGAGTGGTTTGTTTTGCCTTTGTTATAACTACATTACAAACTTTATTTTCATCGAAAGATTTTATAAATGTATGTATTAACTTTTATTGTGATATATTATCAATTATTATGTAATACATTGTTAGTACGAGATGAATTAACATCCACTATGTGGAATCACAACACACCTAGAATTTTCTTCAAATAATAACATATGCGATATATGATAAATATTACAACTCCACGTGAACAGATTGGATTCAACGATACTGAAAGAATCCGATTATAAGTTTTCTGAAAAAAAAGATAATGTGCATGAGACGAAAGGTATATAGTATTCGGACAATTGAAAATCTCAACTTCGTCAAGTGAACAATGTTTGATGGCTTTGGTGGCTTTAATTTTTATTTGCATAGCACGCAGTTTGAAATATTCAAACGCACCTGAGGCTTAACCCTTCAACCTCAATTAATATATCCTTATAGGAAGCAGAAGAAGCGGCGGCAGCAAAAGCTGCCAAGTTGGAAGAACGAGCAAATGCTGCAGCACAAGCAGCAGCGGATGCAGCTGAAGCGGCCGAAGCAGCCTTGCATCCGGAACTGGCAAAAAGTCCAACATATTCGTGTATTAGCTATGAGCTCTTTGTTGGTGCCGAGAAAGGAAACGATGACAACAATAAGGAGAAAATGTCGATACGCAGCGTTGAAGTTGTATCGGAGTCGGTGAGCGTTATTCAAAGACAACCAGCACCTACCACAGCACCCGCTACTAAAGTCAGAAAAGTAAGCACGGTAAGTATATTACAGCTGGCTGATCTGCTTAAAATGTATTTATTTTTGCTTTACTTTCCGCCTTGCCAATTTTTTATTTATATATTGTAAATTATTCGAAATTGTATTATAAAATATCCAAATTTTTTTTATATAATATATTGTATATTATATTTTGTTGTAGATCAATAATTTTCAACGATGTATAAAAATTCGAATCAATCACATTTGGATGTAAATTCGATAATATATTGTTAAAATAGTATCATTTCCTTATATAAATTTATATGTTACTATTAACGGATTGCATGTACAATGCTTGCTTGAATACATTGTTTTTTTTATATCTTGTTTGTATTGTACTTTTCAAATGGTGAGAACAGATTCTGTATATTGTACAGTAGCAAGTTAGATTATTGATGAGGAGCTGGATGCTATAACAGTGAAGATACAACTGTACTATGAACAAATGTGTCATATGTTTAGGAATACAGTATATGAAATCCTGAATATAGCGACACCTTGAACTATTAAAAAAAGGTTTTATAATGTTTCTTCACTCATTGAGTTCATTTTGTTCTTGAACTTAGAAACAAATTTATAAATCTGAAAGATTATATTGGAAAAATGTGTGCCTTGTACTTGTTACGGAATCCAGCCCCAGTTATTGAATAAACAATACTGTAAAAAATTGCATGTGCTATTTTGTGCAAATGTAGCTCTCCGAAATCTAATAATTTGGCCACCAAACCAGATTAATTACATAAACGCAAACGCTACCTACCCATATTTTACCAGTGATTGCTTAGTGGAGAGTTCTGAGATATAAATTAATGAACGACTTAAAGAATCTTACTAACTTAATATCGGCAAACTCTAAATATGCCCCAACTTTCGCAATTGTTGCGAGAATACCACCCCTCAAAATTTACAAATCCGTATTACAATTAGAAAACGAAAATAAGGAAGACTAAGTTCGTATATAACAGAACATTTTATACTCTCGCAAGTTGTAAGGCAGAAAAATATTTTCAGGTTTGGTTTTATTAACACATTGTCCACATATTCGGTATCTGGTCTATGATCCGATTTCACCCATTTTTAAACGTGAGTTAGTATACTTTGAAGGCTCAGTTTGGCGAAGTTTTCCGATATCTTCATTGGTCCTAAATTCAAATACTGTAAAAGTAAAGAGTGAGATGGAATATAAAATATAGCCCATTTTCATAAATTTGGTTGAAATTAGTCGAGTAGTTCCTGAGATATAGAACTTAAACTAAAAGTAGGTGGTGTAGCGCCCATTGTGCTATAATTCCTATGAAACCCTTCGATACCATCTTGGATGTGAAATTTAGTACTTCTGATGCTTGAGTGACACTTTTATAGTTTTCAGCAGAACCATTTAATGGGTGGTGATTGTGGTTATCATCCGATTTCTTCCCCTGTCTGGGGAAGTGGTAGAAGGACTTGTCCTCAGGAAGTTTGGTTAATATAGCTTCAGGGGTTTGTGAGATAGGTACATTTAACTATTGGATGACAAGAGCTAAAATCATCTGTGGCGACTTGTTGCGAGAGTATAAAAACTGTGCCAACTAGTTAGATAAGATTACTCGTATTTTGTATAAAATTGTATATTTATTATAATTTATATTTATCATGCGAAGAGATTATTTTAAGCTATGTTTAGGGATATAAAATATAAAAAAAGATTATCGTATGTACACGATTGAAATGCTATATTACCAATTACTAATGTAGCCAGTTCAGTACCTACACATATTGCCGTTAATGTCAGATTTAAAGTTCAACCAACTTATTCTACTAAATACCAAAATGTAATTTAGAACCTTTTCTTCCTACATGTAATTATTTATGTTTTACCTTAACGCTTATACATCTTACTCGTATAATAGTGATAATATAAACGTTTTGTTACCCTTTATTTTGCTTTGCCCCAAAATGCTGTATTTTTTAACTGATTAATGATCGGAAGTAATATTTCTATAATGCTAAATGGCTTCGATTTGTTAGCGCTATCATATTTTAAGCATCTTTGGGTCAAAATTTTTCTCATATCACAAAGCTGTAATAGGTTCTACAAATTTTGAATAGTTTTGAAAAATTCCAAAGCTTTTATTTTTTTTTTTTGAATTAAAGTTAATTGAATTTTGGTCCATCATTATTGAAGGTAGGTGTAAATCTTGTTGTATAAACGTTAATTTTATAATAATAAACTCTTTTACCAAAATTTATTCAAAATCAAATATCTTTGCCCGATTGGTACACTTCTGAAACATAACTATATATTTAAATATTATATTCATAAAAATTATGCACTAACAAACCCGACCCTTCCCATTCAACCATTGTTCTATACATTTACACTCGTAGTTTTGTTATTCGTAATTAAAATAAAACACAGGTATATAATTATATGTATATATTTGTATAAATATACATATATTTGTATATATATACATACATATATTATATTTATTAAAAAAAAAAATATTGAATTAAAAATACTTTCGTTCAATTATTTCAAAATAGTATAATAATTATGTATTTGCAATATAATAGTTAGTGTAATAATTTTCAAACATTTATGATCATAAATTTTTACTCGAAAAAAATTATACGTACTATCAGTGCATTGTCTATTTTATTTTATTCTAAAGAAAATATAATATATGCAATTTTCATTATTTATTTTTTTCACTCAAATGAACCTTAGTTTTTTCTCCTTACACATGTATGTCATTAATGTATATTAAATCTTTTATACTAGAAGCATAATACACAAAATATATATACAAATTTCAATATAATTTTTCTCAAACCTTCCCTACAAAAATTTAATGCACCTAAAATGTCCAAAACTTAGATTGATATGTATCCAACAAAACACGGAAATAATATTAAATAGTTTGAATATGATATTTTTTATTTACTTATATTTTTCTATTTCTTCTTCTATATACTTTTATTTGTTACGAAACATAGACATCCTTATCCTTACCTGGTTCACCGTTTAACATACGCAGGGGATCACGTAGTTCACATAAGGTAAGCGCTGATAATTAACTCCACACCTCGAAGGTAAAGAATACGGGTCATAAATGAGAATAAACATAAGCACCTGGTTATTATCGTAATATTTTTCATGAACGCACCGTACGGATATTTAACCATGTATTTTAAGTTAGACGCACGAACTGAATTTAAAATTCAAAGATAAGAACACAAGCTTTAGTCATTATCGATTTAAACATGGTACAAAATAAAAACTTTTCTAAAATAAATAAAGTCAATACATGTATGTAATGTGTAAAATATCTCTGTATACAAACTAATGTACTATCTTTTAGTAATAATTGTTTACCTGTAACCAAATTTATACAGCATCTATGTTTGTATTTTTTTGATGCCCATGTTATCCATGTGATTTTCATAACATTCCCATATCACTCATATATTTTTCACATGAAATTAATAGACCAATCAATTTAAAATAAATAACTGCTCTTGGTAAACTTACTTGCTGCCTCTCCATGTTTAATATAATTCGTTTTGTACTGACATTGCTTAAAATGTTTTATGATGATTTTTAAACTTTATTTTCTAACAAGTTTAACCTTTTCTACTTTTCGCATTTTAATTTTTCATAATCATTGTTTCTAAAAGTTCTTTTTTCCAAATTTTGTGTTACAAACTTAAATATGTGTTATATTAAAATACCTAGGTAAAATAAATAAAACTAATTCATGATCCATGCATGTATTTCATTTTTAACTATTAGTACACTATTCGCAATGGGCGAGGTCGTTTCGGTATTCCTGGGAGTGACCGAAAACCCCTTGTACTGTCAACATATCAGGATGCACAACAGCATTTGCCATATGCCGATGATTCGAACGCAGTAACACCGATGTCCGAAGAGAATGGCGCTATTATTGTACCGGTATATTATGGCAATTTAGGTTAGTAATATTAATATAGTATATCAAATAACAATTTTTAAAGCCTTAATAATCTATGAAACATTTTCTTGAATTGCCATTCAATTTATGGAAGTAAACTATTCTAGGTTCTAGACATTCATCATATACCTCGCATCAATCACGAATCTCCTATACATCACATGGCGATCTGTTAGGGGGTATGGTGGCTATGGGTGTCAGCACGATGACTAAAGAAAGTAAACTAAGAAGTCGTAATACGCGCAACCAGTCAGCGGGTGCATCAAATGGCACTAGTTATGTCGATACAAATCACAAGGAATTACACCGAGACTTTGTAAATACGTTGATTAAACTTAAAAATTTAATCAAATAATACATATCCCTATATACATATATATATATATACATATATATTCAATTTCTCTGAATTATTTCTCTTACTCGTTGCTTCAGGAAATGGGCCTTGAATGTAGCGATGAAACTGGAAAAATAAAACATCACGACAATCCTTTTATAGAGCCCGTCCAAAACCAAACAGTCGTCGACATGAAAGGTCATATTATATATATTTTTTCCTTTTCTCATAATAAAAATATGTAATACAAATTGCAGATGTGATGGTTTTAAATGATATCATAGAGCAAGCCGCTGGTCGGCATAGTCGTGCTAGTGACCGTGGTGGTAAGACAATAACTTCAAAAATATGAAATTCTTTATTTTGATATTTATTTTACATAAATTAATAGTTTGGTGATAATATTGTTTTATTTTAAAAAGGCATACATAACTACGCTTAAATTCATTTGATTGTAAATACAAAATATTTTTGTTATAAAGAATTAAATCTGAAATATTTTGTTGTATGTATGTATGTTTAAATATGTGTGTGTTTTCGTGTGTGTTTTCCATTATATTGTTTTCTACTGATTGAGCTGTTATGTAAATATCTATATCCACAGCAGTTTATTTGGACAATTTATTTTAATTATCTGTACAAATATACACATTTATTTTTGTGCTACCAAAATATGATATACTAAAATAAACTATCTAATTGCATATGCTTGCATATGTATATATATGTATATATATATATATATACATATGTAATATACATATTCAATTGATATAAATGTTTGCCAATAAGATTTTACTTAAAATAATTATTTGCCTATTTTCTACCATTATAATTAATGTCACACTAATTTCAAGTGACAGAAGTTTTTTAATAATCAGTCCAACACTGTCGCCTGCCTAGAATAAAATGTATATACGATAAATGTAATTAATTTGCAATTGCTTTGGAAATGTCATTGGCATGCCTTTTTTCGAACTCCTTTAATTTACTACTTGTTCCAATTACTTATACCTGGTAACGACAAATATTTGCAAATGTCATTGCATTTTTTTATTATCTTTGCGTTTAGCATTGTAATCAATGTTAATGATAAAATTGATTTTAATATATTATCCAAAAGTACTTTAGTACTAGTGTAATGATAACTGTTACCAGATGTTTGTAATGGATTTCATCAACACACGTTTTGCAAGAAAAACGGTAATCGTTCTTTCTACCTTTAACTCTTACATACAAGTAACTCTTGTATGGCGTTTAAACGTTTCTGCACTATTGTTATAAAATTTATGAACAAAAAAATTTAATGACTAGTTATAACAATACTGCAGATGATATGATCCATAAACACATTAATTTGTATGTCCTAAATTTCATTCTAATAAAATATTAATACTTTCAATATTCATAATATATACCCTATTTGTCATTTCCATTCATCAAACTTATATATTTTATTTAAATAACATTTTTATATCCATATATACATTATGGAAGCCTTCTACAAACTATATGACTTCTTTGACTCGTCTATTTTACTTACTACGGTGATGCTGAAAGCAATTTAAATATTTTGAAACACAAAATTTTTAAGCAAATCACATTATTTTCGTAGTTGAAAACAAATTAAAGTATGATAGAGTAAATGTACTTGATATGATCCAAATTTTTAATGTCACTTATTTTTATCAATAAATATTTTTTGCTGTTAACTTTTAATGCATACACTTTATATCAAATGTGAAAATATGTTAGAATTAATTTTGTTAAATGTTAAATTTAATTTTTGCTTGCAATAAAGTAAAATGTTTGTTTTCAGAAAATTACATACCAAATTTTAGATAAGATTTGATTTGGTGTAGTTTTATAGTTCCATTATGAATTAATTACCAAGTTGCATGGTCGATAGTGATGTAAGTTTTGTACTATTTATTTATATCTTATATACATTATTTGCTGCGAATTGCGATAGCTTAAGTATCCTACCACGCATGAAATTTATATTTGTTTTAACACGTAACTAGTTGAGAACATTTCCTAGTAATTTCAACCAATAATATAAAATCTCTCAATTACAAATATTATTTTTTCACTTCAAATATTTTCTATCACACATGTATGTATATGATCATAACAACAGCGGTAGCTTTTTTGTTGCATTAAAGAAGATACTAATATATTTTTAAAAGTGCAGGTATACATCTAATAGGCTTAGTTTGGAATTTTTAACTTTTATTAGATTCCTTGTATTTAAGACCGTCTTAAAATTAATTGGAGAAATAATTAAAGTTTTCACTCTTTAACAAATAAAAAACCGAACCCGTGTCATTGAAGTTATCCTTTTCTTTGTGAGATGATTTTTGATAACGATTTCAAAAAGGCGTATATGCAAATTTTTAATCAATGAGCAAGTATAATTTTATGAACTTACTACAACTTTTAAATTTCAAAAATATATGTCTGTATGTATAGAGTCGTTAACAATTGCTGTCATTAAAACGTTGCACCCTTATATGGTACAATAAAAAGTAATCGAACGGACCTGATTTTACGAATTTTGAATACTAGCATGTCTGAATCACATCTATACATATATACATGTATATATTTGCAAAGGTTTTCTCAACTTTTACTGTTTTATGAGTTTCCAAATAGTTTAAATAGTAGACAACATTAAACTTAAACTTAAACTAAGTTTAAATAGTAGACAACGTTAAATTTAAACTTAAACTGAGCAATAACGTTTAAGGTTAATTACGCACATTTTATTATTCAATATTATTTTAAAAGAATTTAATAGATGGCTTCATAGAAATATTCAACGATCAAAAGAAATATAAATGATACATAATTGATTACAAATGCCAAAAATTACACCTAAAATCGACGAAGTCAAAGCTGGTCAAAATTGACTAATCTGAAACTTTATGGTTCAGTCTCTGTTTACTATTTCCCAACAGAGGACGATGATGAAGATGGCCCCACATTCAAGGACAAAGCTCTTGAGGCTATACTTAGAGGAATTGACATTTTTTGTGTGTGGGATTGTTGCTGGGTATGGCTAAAATTTCAAGAATGGGTTTCACTTATCGTCTTTGATCCATTCGTTGAGCTTTTTATTACATTGTGTATTGTTGTAAACACAATGTTCATGGCAATGGACCACCATGATATGAATAAGGAGATGGAAAGAATATTGAAAAGCGGCAATTATGTAAGTTTAAAATATAATTGTTAATCCTTCTCTACATTCACAATCAAGTTACATAAAGCCAAGGAATCGAGTCTTATGATTGAATGTAATGATAAAATATTAATTTATCTTTCAGTTCTTCACTGCGACTTTCGCAATCGAGGCCACTATGAAATTGATGGCTATGAGCCCAAAATATTACTTTCAAGAAGGCTGGAATATATTCGATTTTATTATTGTGGCACTTTCCCTTCTTGAACTTGGTCTGGAAGGAGTTCAAGGACTTTCTGTTTTGAGATCTTTTCGCTTGGTAAGAATGAATGTATTATACATACATACATATATCGTATACGATAGTATATATACAGTCAAGGAAAAAAGTCTAAAAGTAAAAAACTAGTATGTATAAACATTTAATAAATTATATATATAGTTATTTATAAAATTTACTAAATTTGACCAAACCCTTTGATCAATATGTAGTATATTATATATATATATACATTGCTAAAATAATCTGACACTAAAACATCAAATAATAATATATATGAGATAATGGCTTTTAAACCTCAGTAAAATATTTGTGGTTTAAACAAAGTACAAAGTTTTTGTCTCTTAAAATATTCTACAAATACCTTGTAGACTGAGTATTAAAATGAGGCATAATCATAGTTACAACTCTTACCCCAAAACATCATATATAAACATTTTTGGTCACTATAAACAATAAAATACAAAACAAGAATTTCATTATAGTCGAAAACTATGATAATGCACTCATTTATTTAATTTTGCATTTAACCATAATGTATTCCATAAATTGCAGTTGAGAGTCTTTAAATTAGCCAAATCGTGGCCAACGTTAAATTTACTTATATCCATCATGGGTCGTACCGTTGGTGCCCTAGGCAACTTAACATTCGTTCTGTGTATCATTATCTTCATATTTGCTGTAATGGGAATGCAATTATTTGGCAAAAACTATACAGGTATTAGGAGCGCGAATAAATTATCAAGCAAAAAAGGAATCGCTTAAGTTAAATTTTAAATTGCAGTTCTTTAATAACAATATTGCAAGTCACTTTTTTGCTAATTTACTTAACAGTTTTTATATGTACAAACGTACATTCAATATTTTCTATTAATCACTTTTTACTCAAGATATAAAATATAGAATATAGAGTACTCAAAAAAGTTAAGAATGTCCTAAACATTATATTTCTACTATTAACTACTTTAATATTTAAGCTTGAGCACGTTTTTTAGCTTACACAAGAGGTGAAGGATCCGCTTGAACGATTTTACTTGCTTTAAGCCGCATTTTTTAACACTAATTTCATCTAAAAATATATAACAAAAATCTGAGGAAACAAAATAATTAAAAAGTGTAGCAACATATGCACATACATATGTATATAAAATTGTTATCCTGGTAGTTGTTTAAATTTCATAAATTTCTATTAACCCATGTGTTATTAGGTATATAACTTACCTTACATATTAACCGTTTGTTAGACTCAAATCCTTGGTCATATTTCAGTAACTATAAAATCATAATAACTCTGTATGATATAATATATTAAAATATATAGTAAAACACGGTTAACATGAAAATAAACGATAAAAAGCAAATAAGGAAGAGCTAAGAAATAGTTGACTCTTGTGAGCCTGGTAGTATAAATTTGTATTACCAAACTTATTTAATCAGGTAATCCATTTATGGAATATTGGAGTAGTCTACAAAGTGCCATCAATGCAAACTTAGACATGTGAATATGCACACTTATACGTACACATATTAAAACAACAACACGACAGCCTATCTGTTTTTAAACATCGTTATCATTTTCTCAAGGTATACATATACATACATATGTGTGTATGTGATATAATATTTATTATTATTTTAGGACAATTATAGTATTTAACTTAATAAACTGAACTAAATAAATTATACAATGCTGTATGCGTTAGTTTATTGTATTACCACTTTAAAAAATATGCAATCGAACAGTTTATTAATAATTATTTTTTATTATTCCAATATATTTTTCCTGATGCTTTGCCCGGCTTACTAATAAAATTCATGCTATCTTTTATCATGAAACCTCTTCGGCACATTTTAAATCAACAACTAACTGCACAATTCATCGCATAAAACACATTGGGAATGTATGGCTTATGATTTATTTCAAATCTATTTGAATAAATATCCCATATGTGAAATCGAAATTAATATTCTCGAAATACCAGCTACGAGTTTTTAAACTTGCTAAATCGTGGCCTACATTAAATTTGCTAATTTCAATTATGGGTCGTACTATGGGTGCATTGGGTAACTTAACATTTGTCCTTTGCATTATCATCTTCATCTTTGCCGTAATGGGAATGCAACTATTCGGAAAGAACTATACGGGTAAGTAGATAAAAGTTAGGTGGAAATTGTGCATAATCACTAAGTCGTTGTGGGAATTATCGTAGCACATATGCACAATCAAAATCATTTTATAATTTTTTTTTCCATTTATTGGTAAAAATTTTCATTTTAATATTTTTTGTTCTTGTATTCGCATTTTGTTTTATTTTTTTATTTTAATATACTTAGTTGTACTATTGATATACACATTTTTTATTATAACCAGAATAGTAAGAAATTTTAAGAATCAGTAGTGATCGAAACACGCTGAACTAAAATTTTTAATAGGAACGCAATATATTATTATTAAGGAATGGTATTCTTCCATTTTGTTATTCCGTTAACTTGCATAAGCAACTAACTTTAAGAGTTACACATTTGACTTAAATTTAATTTTTTTCAGTATACACATATATTTTTTTATTAATTTAATATAGCTTCAATTTACATGTTCATATACATATGTATACAAATTTGTTTGTCTCCTTGTAGGTTTTTAATTTTGTTACACTTACATATTTTTATTTACATACGTAACCCTACTTACTTATGTATAATTGAAAGAAAAATAAGGTAATTTATTCAAAATCACTTTAACCCAGGTGGAGTTTTAAAAAATGCTTGTTGCACTCTTTATTATGTTTACCAAATCTATTTCTTCCTTCGCATTTTATGAGCTTCATTAATTATATTACAATTACATATTTGTTAGATGTTCGCAACATAACTTTTATACAATTCAAATCATTTTTCTTTACCATAGACAATCAGGATCGATTCCCCGATGGTGATTTGCCTCGCTGGAATTTCACAGATTTCATGCATTCTTTTATGATTGTATTTCGAGTATTATGTGGTGAGTGGATCGAGTCCATGTGGGATTGCATGTACGTTGGGGATGTATCCTGTATTCCGTTCTTTTTGGCCACAGTCGTGATTGGAAATCTAGTCGTACGTATAAAAGAAAGTCATATTGTGACTTCTTATTAAAACAAATATACCTAATATAATTTAGTTACTAACAGTAATTGATTTCAATGTATTTCTACGTTTTTTAACAGGTGCTTAATCTTTTCTTAGCTTTGCTTTTGTCCAATTTTGGTTCATCTAGTCTCTCAGCGCCCACGGCAGACAATGATACAAATAAAATCGTTGAGGCGTTTAATCGAATATCACGTTTCAAAGCATGGATAAAGCGTAATTTTGCCAATTGTTTCAATTATATTCGTAACAAGTTGACAAATCAAATTAGTGATCAACCATCAGGTGAGAGGATCAACCAGATCAGTTGGATTTGGAGCGAAGGTTTTTATCCACATGTTTTCTTCTACTTCTTGTTATATAGAAATGTATTCATAAACAGAAGTAATGATTAGACGAATTATAAGAAATGTATATCCGAATTAACATATAAAACGTTATTAAAGGCCTATAGTATAAAATCTAGCCAATTATAAATATATGTGCATATAATGCCTTTATAGTAGCCTTTATTTTTATAATATTGTATATCGTACATAATCATATTCTCCTGAGCTACATACATAGGTAACTTACTTAGAGTGAAGTAATTTTGATTTAGAATATAAATAAATATTTTGTCTATTATGTTCTTCACACATACACATATTTCTTAGACATTTCATGACGAAATTTATCTAAAATTTGTAATGATTGCAAATGTTAGAAAAAAATACTAAACTGCGGTTTTACTGTAGCTCCCCTTGTTTGTTGAAATTCAATATTAGCTTGTATTAGCGTGTTTTCGTTGTATATAATGGGTTAATGCCTGAATAAAGTTGCTTAGATGATTAATATATTAGGATGAAATTATATTAATTTCTAAAAACCATAAATATCTAGTAATAAGATTTTACAAAAAAAAAATATCATAAAAATCTCTAAGTATTCCCAAAGTATTATTGTTTTTATAACTAGCATAATAATAGTGATTGTATTTGCAACTATACTCTTTGTGTATTCTATTGATCTGAACTCTTAACAAAGAATAACAGTTTAAGTTAATGAATATTTAAAAGTAAATTCAATATGGCTAAAATTAGTTGTAATAATGTTTTAGGTTAGTCTGGATTTACTCGTACTTTATCAAATTATTTATGAAATTGAAAGTAAAACAGTGGATTTTACCCTTCTTATAATTGTTTTTTTTTTTTTATAAATAATTCAATGTTTAAAAATTCCCTTAATATTATTATACGAAAGCACAACAACATACAGTTTTTTTTTGTACTTCATTGTAGTAAAAATAAGACAAAATAATTTGCTTATACAATTTTATATATTTTGCGTTGCCAAAAATACATAATTTGCTCCCTTTTAGTTTAAGTTGCTTTTTTATATAATACTACGTTATATATGTTAAATATTATAATACATACATGCATAAGATCCATAAGATCTATGCATATACATTTGACTTTATGTTAAAAATTATACAATACATATAGACAATATTATTTATTACTACTTATCGTTACTTATCGCACGCCAACATATAAATTCCTACATTTGCAGAGCTTAAACTCATTATCCATAATAAGTTATATACTAATATAAATCAATCATTCACATAGTATTCTAAATTACTTAAATCTTTTTTTTCTCTGGACATATAAATGCAATTGAAAACCAAATAATTCAATCTTTCGTGTCTCATCATCATAAACGAAATAATATCAAAAAATCAATACCTACATATATATAATTGAATTAAAACACCTCGTGCATTCCAAACTATCCAAACGCAAAATAAACATATGTGCAAATTTGTGGTAACTAAAATATGTTGTCTATCTTCACATTTCGATAATCAATTGAATATACATACATATGTATGTATGTAAAATCACAATATTGCAATCCGTCATTCGCATCTCACCGTTCACATATCGTTGATCGATCGCTTAATGGCATGTCAACATTTTTACACAAATTTGTATTCAAATTGATTTACTTAAATTGAACGATTGAAAATATGAATGGATGCGAAGGCAAAGTGGTATGTCGTTGTATATCTACAGAACATGGGGATAATGAATTGGAGCTTGGTCAGGATGAAATTATAGCTGATGGTATAATCAAGAAAGGGATCAAAGAACAGAACCAGTTGGAAGTAGCAATTGGCGATGGTATGGAATTCACTATACATGGCGATATGAAAAACAACAAGACGAAGAAGTCAAAATATCTGAATAATGCAACGGTAATACACAATATTATACAATAATATATATAATTCAATACTTTCAGTAAATCTTATGATATACCCTCCTGTCCTATTTCTTGCAGATGATTGGCAACTCAATTAACCACCAAGATAATAGACTGGAACATGAGCTAAACCATAGAGGTTTGTCCCTACAGGACGACGACACTGCCAGCATTAACTCATATGGTAGCCATAAAAATAGACCATTCAAAGATGAAAGCCACAAGGGTAGTGCAGAAACAATGGAAGGTGAAGAAAAACGAGATGCCAGTAAAGAAGACCTTGGTCTTGATGAAGAACTTGACGAAGATGGGGAATGTGAAGAAGGTCCACTTGACGGTGATATTATAATACAAGCAAATGAAACAGATATATTGGACGAGTACCCAGCAGACTGCTGTCCTGATTCATACTACAAAAAGTTTCCAATATTAGCTGGCGATGAGGACTCGCCTTTTTGGCAAGGATGGGGCAATTTACGACTGAAAACGTTTCAATTAATTGAAAATAAATATTTTGAAACAGCTGTTATCACTATGATTTTGATGAGTAGCTTAGCTTTGGTAAGTTTGCGTCAAACACAATTTATTTATATATGTATATTAATTATTTAATCAATTCAATACACTCATGTAAATATAGTTAACCCCACAAATTTATTGATGGTATTTTTATTTTTATATACATTTCATGACACATTATGGTAGATTACTGTATGTCTATGTTCCGCATTATTATGTATTTATCAATTCAATATATATTTAATAAATTTATTTCATCCAGGCTTTAGAGGATGTCCACCTTCCGCAAAGACCCATACTGCAGGATATACTTTACTATATGGACAGAATTTTTACGGTTATATTTTTCTTAGAAATGTTAATCAAATGGTTAGCTCTTGGCTTCAAGGTTTACTTCACAAACGCATGGTGTTGGCTTGATTTCGTCATCGTTATGGTAAGTAAACCCGTTATCCAATAAGATTCTCAACAGATTTTGATTATTTGGACTCAAATATATATCACATACAAATAATTACAAGAAAAATGAGTACGAGCGTAATAAATATACATGTGCTTACTCAAAATACAGAAAATCTATTACTGAAAACTATTTTTTACCAATGACGGACAATTTTTTCCATACTTAATGAACGAACAGAAAATTAAACAAAAATATTTACAAGTATAAAAATAATTTAATTAATTTAAAATTTCTTATGTTAGTTGTGCTTTTACAATAGTTTATTTTGATACCATTTTTAAGTTTCTTGAAGTTTTTAGGCATTACAATTTTTGTATAACATTAGTTAAAATCCTTAATTAATTAAAATCCCAATAGACCTTCATTTAATAAATGTGTACATAGATAATAATATAAGGAAATTCCGTTTTTGATTTTTATTTAACGATATGTCAAGAGTAAATTAAATGTGCTTCTTCCTTCACTTTCACCTGTCTGATGCATTGTTAAAATGCGCGGTATATTAGCTATCCCTCATCAATTTGGCCGCGGTTTGGTCCGGAGCCGACGATGTCCCGGCATTCCGTTCTATGCGAACTTTACGTGCACTTCGACCGCTACGTGCGGTATCCCGGTGGGAGGGTATGAAAGTAAGTAGTTGCTGAATAAGCATTCCAAACAGTGCTTTCGTACTACGCCTAATTGAGTGTTGTGATGCAACAGTTTCTTCTACGTGTTCAACTCTAACTTAAACTAACTTACATGCTATTCTTCAAAACTTATGTATTTGTGTTGTTGTGTAATAACCATACATTAACAAATCTACGAATCTTGCCATATTTTACGTACAAGTTAAATATATTCAACAAATATTCGCAAGTGCGTGATTGAACTTTACTTAATTTAAAACTGAATATTCCCGTGGTTATAACTTTAATTCCGAGACACATATATCTAGTTGATGGACGTTATTTCTAACTCGGAGTATAAGAAAAATTTGCCACAAATTAAAGCTGGAAGAACTAAAAGAATCTTTTATTCAATAGCGTATTATACATATAATATGTAACTCAAAGATAATGTGCAAGTATTTATATACCTTATCGACATACACAAATACATTTATTTCACATCAGTGAATACATGAGCTATAATGCAATATATAGATACGAATGTTATGTACATACATATATATTGAGAAACACATATGTATGTATCTATTTGTGTATGTTCTTCATGCCCCGATATAAACCAATTTTGATATATACATACATAAATATGAGGAGTCTCGTATTACTTTCATACATATATGCTGTTATAGTATGTACATATTTCCAAAATAAGGTCAAGCAATTTTTTTGTATTCCTGTTGCAACAATATGGAGAAAGATATGTTTTGTACATAAAATTATCTTGGAAAGACATGTTGCAACTAAATTGTGATAAGTTTTTCGCAAATGTTGTATTTTCAAACAATAGCTTCAAATAACTTTCTTTTGTAAAGAATGGACTAGAATAACTTTATACTAACTGTATTGTACTTGTAAATGCTCTGTGTCACTATAACGTCAATTGTATAGTATATGGGCTTTTGTTGTATATGTTTGTGTTAAGTATTCGGCCAGAGTCGAAATTCATATTTTCCTGTTTCCAATCACATAACGTGCTCAAACCATCATTTAATATTTTCAGTTACAATGTTAGCAAACACAAGTTACTTCACACATTTAAAATGAATTTTTATTTTTTGGTGTTGTTATATAACTTTGAGTGTGAAATATTAAAATAAAAAAAAGTTTAAAAACGTGCATATAATATTTATGATGTTATTGTAATAAGAAAGTAATACGTTATAATTTTTGTACAGTACTGCATTAAATGCCAACTATCTAATCTGCTTAAATTATATAATATATATTAGCTTAGAACAACGAAAGAAATCCTTTAGCGCATTATAGTTAAGTTTTGACAATAAGTGAGTATGCCACGTCGGCCCGATACCCTGTTAAAAACATATTAGTTCACATAGATAGTCACTTCCGCTTGTCTCCGGGTATCCCTTAAAAGAAAACATTTTCGCACTTTTGTCAAATATTAAATAGATATAGAATTAGATAAGTTATCAAATGTAATAGACTTAGATGAAACGATAGTTTTAGATATGACATAGTTCCCGAGATGCCTTAGTGTTCCTAATTTTTACATATCACTTATTCGAAGCCCAAAATAAAATTCTCTTAAAGTAAATATGTGGTTATTTTATATATACCTATAGATGCAAAATAGCAACTAGTTGTAATAGAGTAAAATCACTGAAGGATATGTTTAAATAAAATGTAAAGCTCATATTGTAAACGCATTATTCAATATATCGATTAATAAAAGTGTCTGCCCAATTAAGCATCGTCTATTTATTCCTTGCTTCATTTATCATTATTTGCTACCACATTAACCATAACCGAAGCAAAGACATCATGCAAACTAAAATACTTTTAAGTAAACCAAATCCACTGTATTATAGTTCAAAAGTCATATAAACTTTTGAATCTTTTATTTCACTTTGTCCCTATAAACGAAGTATCCTTGTACGCCATGTATAAATTTAACCATCGAAACGGTGTACTTAATATTTGATTCCCATGTGCAATCGATTTGATTTTTATATACATATAAATAGATAAAATTTTAGATATATTATATGTAAATATATTCAGAAGCACAAACACTTCTTTGCCTACGCAGTGGTGGCAGTGTTTTACTTAAAATAATATTTTTACAGAATACGAAATTGCTTTACTCTCAGAATCGCTTGGTCTTGGCTTCTTATGTGACTTATTCTTTCGACAATTCTCATTTTAATATAATACTTGTATATTATAAATCACTTCTCCATTGAGTCTGGCAGCAAAGTTAGAGCAATAATTTGTCAGAATTTCGGCAAGCCAACCTAGTCTCCTAGATCGCTCCGTGCTCCACAATAGACAAATGCAATATAATTTCATTTGTACATATTTGCATAAACGTGCACAGATTCTTTATATTTGTGTTTTCTTCGAAAACCATGGAAACATATTAGTTCTTCTTCGAAATAGATAATCTACTCCTACATAAAGATGTAAATAAAAAAAATAGTCACAACAAGAATGAAAACTTCAATATCCTCTCCCATAGCAACACGTCTTAATAGTTCGTTATTTGTGTTTGGCCATTGTGGAGCTTAACAACAGTTTCTGTAAAAGGATCGAATACAACAGCTGGAATTAAAATATGAGCTTTTTGAAATCGTTAGGCAAATATGACCCAAAGATATTTAAAAAATTCTAAGTGTAAGTATATATATCCATTTAAGTACGAACTTACAACTAATACAGACTGAGCACAAAGGCATCACGGAAGTCGCTGAGTTTACTTGCAAATTCGCAGCATTGATTTGACAGGTTGAGGAGTTATATCATGAATAGCTTTTACATGTTATATATTTATATAAAACATAATTCTCGTACTTTTTTCACATGACTTGATGTTCGTCTTGTGAATAAGTAACAACATACAAAATTAAAAAGTCATAAGTATAAGACACATACAAAAGTAAGAATTATTTTATTTTAAAAATATTTCTTAGGTATAATAAGTGTTTATTGATGGTTTCTAAAAGAGTTAAATTTTATGACATCTCTATTGTATTTATATTTATTTTTTGCAGTTCCCTTCCGTTTCGTATCGTTCTGTTCCCTTTATTTTATTTTATTTGGTATTGTGTTATGAAACAATAACTTTTCAGATTCAGTTGACGATTGAAATGACAGTTCGAATAATACCAAATTCAAAAACACTAAGCCAAGAAGAAGAGAGACCTCTTCTCTTATCAATATATACGAAAATCACAATGTCACAAGCCACAGAATTTATAATGAAAACTAGAAAAAATTATCCCTTTAAAACACATACAACTTCCGTTACTTGTATTGAATAGAATATTTGTTTATAATGACTTTCGAAAAACCGGTACTAGGTGTCGCTTATCAACTTCGTTGCTTCACTTGCTGGAGCTGGTGGTATTCAAGCCTTCAAGACTATGCGAACGTTAAGAGCACTGAGACCACTACGTGCCATGTCCCGAATGCAGGGCATGAGGGTACGTACTTTCATAAACATATTCTCTCGTTAATGCAATCGTTATATTCGTTTAACAGCAGTGAAAACCAAAATGCATCATAATATGTCAAATTTCATTCAAAACAAAAAATGCATCATTAACGTTAGTTGAATTATTCATTATATAATCAATTAACTATTCTACTAATTGTTTGATTGGTATGATTTTAGTTAACAATTTATAGTAAAGTACTAGATAAGTAGTGATTTGATCGAGAAAAATGTTTGTTGAATATACTTTTCCCTTAGTTTATTAAAAATTTTCACACTTCACCTAATTCAAATACAATGTAAAAATTCACAATTAATACAAATACAATAAAACAAAAATATATTGCTTCACATTCCAAGTCAAGTAATTAGATTAATTCTTTTAACTCACATACATAAAATCAGTACACCCGTGCGCGTACACGCGTGAAATCAGCATATACATAATATGCACGATACATATATACATTCATATATTTAAGGGTGTTTTAAAGACCTAGAGAGAAAAAGATGCACGTTTCAATATAAAAGATATTGTTTAAAATACGAGCAACACATACATGTAATTTTTATAACCATTTATGTTATAAATTATTTTTATTCTTATTATTATTAATTACATTTTTAACCATATCATTATCTTCGGTTTTTTTTAATTTCATATTTTCTTGATCGTTTGTTGAGATATGATAAATCTGTCGTATTATGCATTAAAGTTGTTAAATTTGCTTATATAATATATGATTATTGAATTCTTTATATATCAGTTTAGTAATTTTAGTTTGCTATTTTCATTTTTTAAACTTACAAAAGCATATACCATGTTATTCCGTACATTATTAACTAAAACAAATTAATAGTGCATATTAGTTGTTTATATTTTGATAAACGCTTTTTTGTTGATTAACTGTCCTTCTTGCTTGAAGTAAATAAATATCTGTGCCTAATTTTTGCTTCTTAAAATAGAATTTTACTATTTAAAATATTTAATACATAATTAAATTTTGAGCATGTAGATACTTTTTTCATTAATATATATGTGTTTATTATGTTTCTGCACCTAACTAGATACAGTTTATATTAACTATAATCATTGATTTAAATAAGTAATGCATATTTTTACAATAAACTCATCCAAAAATCAAAACTATTAACATAGTTGCTTTCGAATAATTATTCACATAATATTTATTATTTATATAAAACTAACTCTAATTAAGAAATTTGTTTAAATTTATTCTCCTATCGCGTTTTCTCATAACAATTTTAAAACCAAACTTCCATCTGTACTCTATATTTTTAAATCGAAATTTGACGATTGGATACAATCATCACACTAAATTTCACTCATCTTGTGCGCTGAAAACTTTGTTGGCATCTCATTGTTTTTATTGCTAACATCACTGTACTCAAATGCGATCATCGACGTAAACATAACTGGCTTTGTTGCTGCCCTCATTTCGAACCCACAGGTCGTCGTGAATGCATTGGTTCAAGCTATACCGTCCATCTTTAATGTGCTATTGGTGTGTCTAATATTTTGGCTAATTTTTGCCATAATGGGTGTACAGCTTTTTGCTGGAAAATATTTTAAGGTACGTTGAAATCTAATTTAAAAAAAAAAAAAAAAACAAATTGAAAAATTGTTATTAAAAATTGATATACACATGTTTTATTAAATCGTCTTAGTGGTATTATATCCACTCAGTCGATTTACAATAACATACAAAAATGGCTTTTATAAGTGTTTTATTAAAGCCTAAACGATCAGTAAACAATAATGCAAAACCAAATATTATAATGAAAATTAAAAAAAAAATTATTCGATCCGAAATATTTGTACCAATAAAGAAGTGAACTAATTTGGAGCGTATCTTTGCATCTATTTTTCGTAAATAGTTGGATATTTCAAGTAAGGAAAAAACCATGACGAGTGTTTCTTAATGCCGCGTTAACTTTTAACACATTTAATTACACTTCATTCGGTACAGATTTCCTTTATTGTGATAAAAAAACAGACACATATAGAAGGCAATATTATTAAATGTGGTAATAAAATATCAAGATTTTCTGAACATTTAAAGAGAATTTTAAATGTTTTTATAATGAAAAAGACTAACTCTTAAACGGTATCCCAACAAATAAATACCGATCCGAAAAAACTCCACTTTTATAATTACATACTATACATGTCAAAATTTAATAAACCTTATTATTCTTTCCCATTCGGACGTAGCATATAATAATCGTATTTATATGCCTCTACAATATTAAAACATATATATACATACGTGACATGGTACATAGAGCTTTTTATAATTAAATGAAAAATTAACTTTGGCAATAACTAGTAATAATATATTAAATCAATACATACAAAAAATATAGATATTTTACGTACATGACCTGATGAAAATTTATTATATAGAATAACTATTGCAAACAATCAGCTTTATAGCCATATGTAGCTAAAAATATTAAAGTTTATTCACTGTAAAATGTTCTATTATATTTATTATTTAAGTGTATTGATGCAATAATTAGTTCGAAATGCTCTAATTTTAACTACTATATATAAATCAGTCGTGAATTTTATTCGTAAAAGTCTTACGTTAAAAGAATTAGCTCACTGATCCTTACATATTATGCAATTCATTTTAATATGTATTTCAATAAAAAATAAAAATTGTAAAAATATCATACTGTACATTAATTAACAATTTATTATAAAATGTTTACATTAATTATTTCTACTTATTATTATTGCTAATTACTGCTCGACTTCTCAGTGCGAAGATCAAAATGGTACTAAGCTAAGTCATGAAATTATACCAAACCGCAATGCCTGCGAGAGTGAAAACTACACATGGGTAAATTCAGCTATGAATTTTGATCATGTAGGTAATGCGTATCTGTGCCTTTTTCAAGTGGCCACGTTTAAAGGCTGGATACCAATCATGAATGATGCAATAGATTCACGCGAGGTAATTCAAAACTGTTCCGGTTCAGTAAATAAATATACTTATATATACATACATATACATACTTATACCATATATCGACATATTGAACATTCCTAACAGTATATAATACTAACATAAAAATTTTTCTTTTTTCTTTCCCGTTCACAAAAACAAAAATAAACAACCTAATAAACACAACAAATTACGTTACACTGTTATCACGTCATACTTGCACGTCCGAACTATACCTACAACGCAAACGAAATTAATTAAACACCAATAACAAAAAACACCATATGAAAACACCGTTAATAAATTTACTAACACAAATATAAATATATCAACACCACCACCAATACCAACCTAAATAAACATGGATTAAATAATTATAACCATTAACGTCCAATAGGTGGGCAAGCAACCAATCCGTGAAACCAATATCTACATGTATTTATATTTCGTATTCTTCATTATATTTGGATCATTTTTCACTCTCAATCTATTCATTGGTGTTATCATTGATAATTTTAACGAGCAAAAGAAAAAAGCAGGTGGATCATTAGAAATGTTCATGACAGAAGATCAGAAAAAGTACTATAATGCTATGAAAAAGATGGGCTCTAAAAAACCATTAAAAGCCATTCCTAGACCGAGGGTAAGGCTTACATCTTTTTATCACAAAACAACAATACAATAATCGATCAAAAAATAAAAAAATGATAGTATTAATTATTTACTCAAATCTGTGCCAATTGTTAATACTTTTTTCTAAGTTTCGCGATTTATTACATTATAAGTTTCCTCTTTTTATACGTGTTTAAAACAATCAGTACGCCCTCATTTGAAACACTGATGGCGTAATTAAATAAAATGAATGAGGGCCCAGCTATATATCTAGCAATATTTTAAATCATCAGCATCCATGGCAACGGATGTATGAGCGCGTGCATTATCCGCGTTGAGTGGTCGAATTGTATAGTCAAGCAAAACTATTCATCAGGAGTTATGCCATTCTTCCACTGTTATTTAAAAAAGTTGCTTTAGTATGTCAACACTTGGTATAATCCACACACATGCCAAAACGCAAACTAAATTCCATGTTCGGTAGTCTGTCCTTAAACATTTTTATATCTGCCGATACATAAATATACCAAAATTGATTACCTATAGATTTTCTTTACATATTAAAATCTTATTTTATTTGTATGAATTTGCATGAACTGCAAATTCAGGTCTTATTATATAAAAGTGCAAGCATGAGAACAAATAAATATGTATCTACTTATCTATCATAGTAGATAGATACAGATGTACAATGCATCCTACTTTGCGCCACATACTCGATTGCATGTTTTGGGAAAATTTTCGACACCTATAAATATCGATAGCAATTTATTCAAATGCATTTTAATAACCCTACTATTAAATACGAGTGAACTTAAGAAATTAATTGATTAAAACTTTTAAAATTAATTAAATACACAGTTTAATCATAATCACTGTTAGTTGTCCTTTCTCTAGATAATTTTAAATGCAAATATATGCACGTTTCTTTTTATAGATACAGTACAGAAAAAAATAATCACTCTTATTAAAGATTGTCAATCTTTTTCAAAATAGTCAATAATTATTTGTGACCTATAACAAAATAAAAATCGGTTATATTGTATAATTAACCAAAATTCAGTTCGGAAATTTTAACAAATTACCAATAATATAATACAGAAATGCGTAATAAAAAGAATTGCCAATGGAACTTATTTTTTGTTTTTATAAAAGTCGTACCAAATTCTTGAGAATAAAGTTGCTTTTGGCACAGATCAACAATAACAAATTTAATTAAAATAAATGATGACTAATTTGTAACACTGGCATGTTATCGTAGCCTTTATAATAATAACAAAAATAAGCTTGCTATAGCTTATATGTACCAAAATAGCAAAATTGAAGTATTCCCAAGTAATTTTGAATTCACGGTTTTAATATTTCTCTTTCTTCTCTTACAGTGGCGTCCACAAGCAATAGTATTTGAAATAGTTACAGATAAAAAATTCGATATAATAATTATGTTATTTATTGGCCTAAATATGTTTACCATGACACTCGATCGATACGATGCGTCCGAAACATATAATGCTGTCCTAGACTATTTAAATGCGATATTCGTAGTTATTTTCAGTTCCGAATGTCTATTAAAAATATTCGCATTACGGTATCACTATTTTATAGAGCCGTGGAATTTATTTGATGTAGTAGTTGTCATTTTATCCATCTTAGGTAAGTAAAAGCCAAAAGTCCATTTTCTGGTAATTTTGCAATTATCGTTTAAATATGCGTTATATGTGTAAATTTGTAATTTGTTGTTGTTGAATATTAAAAATTTTAACCGTAAAATCCCATAAATGTAAATTCTAAATTTTTAAATAAAGTCAACCGTGCTATGAATTGTTCGCAGTCCGTATATGTGTATAAATATTTTTGTTCGAATTAAAATATGGCTTACATTATTCTTTTTCAAATTATTCATTCGAGTGTTTTAAAAATGTTTAATATACTCATATTATCCAGACGTACTATTGTACTGAAAGCTATATGTTGTGCTTTAGTATTTCTCTTGGTTTTCTAATCAATTGTTTTGCTTATTAATATTTTGATATTTTTATGATGCTATGCAAAACATCAAATTGTTTATAACGCCATTTTGTGTTTATTTTTAGTTACTATTGGTGTCGTATAAAGGCTTCTTTTAGTTCACCTGTACATATAGTTATATGTATATGGTTTTTTTTTTTTTAATTTCTGATATCTGTACATATATTCGTTTAATAATATTCGTTTAATAATAATTAAGGAATTCATAAGCCGTACCATTTCTCATGTTTCTATTGTGTTTGTGTGGCACTATTATAACTTCAAAGATTTTGTATTAAGTATAAACAGATTTATTTAACAAAAACTCTGAAAAGAGTATTTGCAAAGGAATGAAATTACATCTAAGTAATGAAACATGTTACTTAATATACTTGTAAAACTATAGAAATGCGGTAAATAGCGCGACTCTTGAATTCCGTGAATATGTTGCTGTATAATGTTACATTTTGTTGTTTTTGTATTTTATATTGACTTCCATGATATTATGTTCTTAAATTATATTTCTTTGCGCGTTTCTGATACCACGAAAACTTGGTATAATATTGAAATACTGAGTTCTGTACGTTAATATATATAAACAGTATTTTTTTACATTGTGAAGATTTGAATATATGCTTGAGTAAAGGATTTAGTATTTTTACAAATATTTTATTTCCTTTATTTCGTGTACAGAACTTTTTTGGATTTAATTACATATTATCTTTGTTTGTTGCGTTATTCTAAAAAGGATTTCTTTTAAGTTCGTGGTTTGCAATAGTAATAAGTTTTTTTGTTGAATTGTTTTGAAACTTATTTTTTCATACTTATTTGAAATATTATACGAAAGCACAAATGATTACTTGCTTCGTTTTTATTTATACACTTTCTTAAATTAAAGGCTTAAATTGCCGGAATAAAACGGCAACTCATCAAGAATACGAATACAATACATAGCAAAAATATAAAAGTCCTAAATTTAACGGAATTTACTTCTACAGAAGATGGCTTAAAATATGCTTTACTACATTATTAATAAAAAGGGTCTTTTTCATAAAAACTTGGCATGAAAGACAACTAATGTATTTTGACATTAGTAATACCGGTGTGTTATTTATGGAAAAGATACTTTTTTTCTGCTATGAAATAGCACATATAACTTTTGTTAGGATCCAAAATCGTTACTGTTAAGATAGGATTCATAAGTATGCATATTTGTTCAGCTTTGAGTAAAAAACAGTTTCCATGAATACACCTTTTCGATTTAATTTAGCTATGCATTATTATGCCTTTATATATTAATTGGCTTCTATATTGTGATCAGAACCTTTTTATTTGCAAGCTTCAAAAGCGTTACAACTTAAACTATCTGCTTGATGCCCTATATGATACATATGAATAGATTTACGATTTCCAATATAATAATATTTTTTATAAAAAAAAGTAAGAATATAATATACCTGCGCTTTGCGCCCTTTCCAATTTGACAAATTAAATCGTCAACCCTGAATTCATTTTTAGCTTAAAGCTTTACTTTAATAACAGACGAGCCTTTATACCTAAAAATTAGTGGCAAGGAATTACGGCCATTTCTAGCAATAACATTATGCTCTCAGGAAGAAATTTAATAGTAAAGCATATACAAAAATTAATGGAAAGGAGTCAATGAATTAAAAGTGATATCAAATAGCGAGATATATTAATATACGTCGCCCTGAACCTGAATATCCCCTGAATGGATATGAGAAAGTCAGTTCTCTCAATTCAATGGCTGTGTTTCAAAGTCTACATTACACATACATATACCCAAAAAAACATAGTATCAACCAGAGATATCAATAGAATACTCTATTGCATACTTCTGTTTGTTCTTTGCACCGGATTTTTAAATTTAAAATGCCCCACTAAGAGTTAGATTATTTACTTTTGTTCTCCGTTGCATAATCCAATGGCTATCTCAATTAATGGTTTTTGTCCATTTTGTCGATGGAAATTATGTACTTTACTATGAACGCAAGTCGCAACTTAGACTAAATTCATCTTATGTAAGTAGTTTGCGACCCCTTCGATAAATCACAGTTATAATTGATAAGCGTTGTAGTGCAAACTTCGTAGGTATAAAACAAAGTTTTATATTTTATATTAATACATATACACTACATTTGTACACTAACCTTTTATAAAATTATATCGACAGATAGAAATTCAAATATAACATTATTAACATTATTAAGTAAGGAAGTTCAACAATTTGATTAGCTATGCATATTCATAAAGACGAAAGAGTATACAAATTTATAGTTCCGTCCTTATTTACATAGATAAACGAATTACACATATACAATGACAAATTAATTTTACTAAGCCACGTTCTGATCATCCAAAAATGTAGCTCTGATTTTGACAATTAAATAGAAATGAGTGTAGTAGCCTCAAATACATATATATGTATATAGTATGTTTTGACTTAAAAACATAAAATTTATATTACAGATTTGTATTATCACTATTCATTCACGATATTTGGTACTAAATATATGCTGCGAATTATCGCTTAGACTCTAATATACACATTCCAATAACTGAAATTTCTATTTGGATCAGTCCAAATAAAGTATTTACTTGTAAAACATAGAAATTGTTCAGTGTTGGGAATAGGTAAGAATACAAGAGCGCAATCTTCTAAAAAGGATATGCTAATGTTTTTCTTATTATTTCAATAACTATTTGAATAGATATAATATGTAACATAACTACGCATCCAAACTAATCGCTTGCGAATTGTAATTTTCGACTGCGAGCGCCTATATATGCCTTAATACATAATTTAAATTTCGAAGCAGGAGCAATTATTTACACACACTGCAGGTGTTTGCTTACGCGTTGAGCTTATGATTTCTTATATTTCGAACAAAAATTGTTTCATATTAAACGATTGCTTCCTTCAATAAAGGCTTTCATAGGATTAAATATTTTTTATCAACAGTGCAAAAAATTTTAAGTTATTTTATTTTGACATATGCATATATGTATATATACTTCTATACAACTTTGTATCTACTTATCAATTTAAATAATTTAACGAAACAAATGTATTTTTATTTGTAAAACTATTCTGTTTATAATATATATCTTTTTTTTTTACTCGTAATATTTGTAAATGTTCCAAATACACCACGTGTAGGTGTGCTTCAGATATTTTATACATTCACTTTAGTAATTAGTAATTAGTATTTACTTGTGTATTAGTATTTATAAATACTGGATGCGGCCACGTAGGCCGTAACAGCGTTGCATATTGTGGCTTCCTTTATTTTACATCTCATTTTGTTTTGGGCGACAATATTTACTCCTTCTCTAACAGGTCTCGTGCTTAGCGATATTATTGAAAAATACTTCGTATCACCAACACTCTTACGTGTAGTTCGCGTTGCAAAAGTGGGTCGAGTACTGCGTCTGGTCAAAGGTGCTAAAGGTATCCGCACATTGTTGTTCGCACTAGCTATGTCGCTGCCAGCTCTATTCAACATTTGTTTGCTGCTCTTTCTCGTCATGTTTATCTTCGCTATTTTCGGGATGTCATTTTTTATGCATGTACAAGAAAAAAGTGGCATCAACGACGTTTATAACTTTAAAACATTTGGCCAAAGTATGATATTGCTGTTCCAGGTAAGAAGCCACAATTCATGTTCCGTTCATGTTGTCTATTGTTGTTGTCGTTGGGTAATATTCCCGTTGCCGGTTGATTGAGTGTCGTTATTATGCGGCGCACCAATACTCATAAGTATATTTCTTTTTTCACCTATTGGTGCGTTGTCTTTCTAATCCACTCACCCAAAAGAGGGAATATTACATTGTTGATTAAGCTATGGTAGTTGTTGGTAAAAGCTAAATTAGCAACATTGAACGAATTTTTCAAAGCATATTCATTTATTGTTTAATTTAATTCTGAACCATTAAATACTATCTTCAATTAAAATTTTTATCATAATAATGAAAAATCTATACATATCATTACCCGTAGAAAAATTAATCTCAATGAACTCTTTATTTTCAGTTGTTACTTTCATGATTTCACATTTTAAAATGTTAAAAAAAAACATCTCAATTATTAGTTGTGTTTATTAAATATACGAGTATACATACATACACACATATATACAGCGTTTTACCCTCGCAACATGTTGTAACAGATCATAATAGTTTTGTTCACCTAACATCAGGATGATTAGACGAGTTGGGTAACCATCCATTTAACGGTTACATTAAAAACTACTAAATGTGTTATTACTCACTAAAAAATATGTTCTCAACCAAAATGGTGCTTAAGGGTTTTAAAAGATAATAGGCATGGCGCCGACCATCTTTAGGCGAAATCCTATATCTCAGGAACCGAATTTGGTACGTAACTCTATCTTGACATCCTTATGTTACAAAAGGCGAAATCGGACTAAAACCCCACCTACTTCCTATGTAACACAATTTTTAATTCCATCTGATACTTTCACTTTACCTCATACAAATTAAGCACCAATGAAGATATTGAGTTAAAAATTTGCAAAAATAGTGCTCTCAAAGTATGCCATCTCACATCCAAAAATGGTCAAAATCAGATAATAACTCCAAGCCCCCTTGGAAAGGAATATGTGGACCTTAGTACCCGTGGTAATAATATGTGTTGATGCCAAAACTTAATAAAATCGAATCCTATATCTAATATAAGAATTTCAATATTCCAATTGGATTTATATCGTTTATATTGACCGGTGTAAGATATCTTAGCAAAATTAAGTGAAAGAATAATATAGTTCACTGCCAAAAATTTGTAAAATCGGTCCACAAAATATTATTTGGTGGAGTATACATCACGTACGTACTATATCTCAATTGAATTAATTGAGTTGATTATATTATATACTCGTATATTGCGGACACGAAGTAAAATATAATCTATGTAAATAGAATCTAATTGGGTCGAAGTCATATAAAATAAGTTATTAAGAAACCAAATGTGATTGTAAACTATTCACACTTTTGTCGAATAATGAATGCTGAATTCTTACAAACATTTTTAACATAAAGTTTTGTCTACATCTGAAAGTATTTTCCTGGCGTTGATCCTTGCACATTGCGAGAGTATGAAATGTTCGGTAAAACCCGAACTTATCGCTTCCTTACTTGTTTTTATTACCATTATTCATACTATTCAGACGTCATTCACTATCCCATACCCTCTTTCGCTTCTATCTAATTAAGCTCTTTCAACAATCGCCAGTTTTAATATTAATAAAAAATCCTCATAAATTTGCGCAACTATTGATTAAGAAGCTTTCTCAGTGTCGAGTTACTTCATAAATAAATGCGATAATTGCATAGAAATGGCTTTAATTTAGACATATTTTGATTTGAAACAAATTTTCCACTTACTGATTCAATCACAGCTTCACTTTTGGTACTTACACAGTTAATAAATGACTAGTATAGCTGTCTCTAATTTCTACTGCAATAAAACCTTGATTTTTGTAAAAACCTTTTTAAAGATAATTTTACTCGTATCAAAAACAGAAAAAAACGAATATTCAAGATAAAAATACGTACCCTCAATCCAGGAAAATTTTTCAATTTATAGTTTTTCTAGCAACATTGCATAATCTACAAATTATTTTTATAGAAAAATAGACGAATATATACCATACTTAGCGTCTCTTCTGCATTTTTTACATTGTCCAACTTCCAAAATTCTTCGTTTGAAGTATATCTGTTAATACGAGTATTTTATATATAGGTAGTAAGAACAAATATGTAAATAGGACGAGTTAAATTAGTTGATTAAATTTTGCTGCCATGTTGTTCTGTTAGCTTCAAACAACCCTTTAACTAATAAAAATAACTTATTCTAAACTTTTTTGCTGCCTCACCAATACGTATTTGAATTAAATCACCCAATCGGACTTATAAAATTGACTCTGTAACCGCTAAATGCACTGCGGAACACAGATGTCTACCTCAGCCGGTTGGGATGGTGTTTTAGACGCTATTATCAATGAGGAAAATTGCGATCCACCCGACAACGACAAGGGCTATCCGGGCAATTGTGGTTCAGCGACAGTTGGAATAACGTTTCTTCTCTCATACTTAGTTATAAGCTTTTTGATAGTTATTAATATGTATATTGCTGTCATTCTCGAAAACTATAGTCAGGCAACCGAGGACGTGCAGGAAGGTCTCACTGATGATGATTATGATATGTATTACGAAATTTGGCAACAGTTTGACCCCGAGGGCACACAATATATCCGATATGATCAACTTTCTGAGTTTCTGGATGTTTTAGAGCCGCCTTTACAAATACATAAGCCGAATAAGTACAAAATCATATCTATGGATATACCAATATGTAGAGGAGACTTGATGTATTGTGTTGATATTTTGGATGCTCTAACCAAAGACTTTTTCGCACGGAAAGGAAATCCAATAGAAGATACTGGTGAAATTGGCGAAATTGCTCCTAGAGCAGATGCGGAAGGACATGAACCTGTATCCTCTACTTTATGGCGACAGCGGGAAGAATATTGTACACGATTGATACAAAATGCCTGGCGAAAGTATAAAGCCCGTACATCTGGTCAAATTCAAGGAAACATCGAATGCAACTCTACTCCTGAAAATGGCGATAGTACCGATCCAGGTGTCGGACAAAAATCTGGAGACACTGAGCGGGATGACAAAGCTAGCGTCTTAAATAGCCCAGAAGGGTGCGTCTGTGGGAGCCCAGTTAGTCCTGGACTTGCGAGTGGTGGAGTAGGTAGTGGATCAAATGGCAATAATGGTCGCCAAACGGCCGTGTTGGTCGAAAGTGATGGCTTTGTGACAAAGAACGGTCATAAGGTTGTAATACACTCGCGCTCACCGAGTATAACGTCGAGAACTGCAGACGTCTGAGCCAGGCCTCGCCCCTCCCTCCAGGATGCACCTTCATCGAACTGACTTAAATCACTAAAAATAATTTTCTGCCACATTCAACAACAACGACAGCGTACAACAAAATTACAAATGCAATAAAGCTACAAGATCCAGCATCACTACAAATAACTGCAGTTTTTTCTAAAATCTGTAAAAATAATATATATATATAGATATATACATATATCTATCTATATACTATATATATATACTATATATATATATGTATGTATATATATTTATATATTGCTACGGAAATTAAATACGGGAAGCACAAATAACACCTCATTACTGTGACTCTAAACAAATGGAAGTTAATCTATTAAATGATGCTTATTAGTTTATTAAAGTTTTCAATTAGTAAAAAATTTGTTTACTTCCTTACTTTTTATAATATATGTATACATTTAAAGGATTATTCCTATAACCATCTTAATTATCGAATGTTTTATGCTTAGTTTCGCTTGCCGCAATTTACAAAAATTAAATACATTTTGGAATGTACGTATTGTATGTACCACATTTCTAAACGTTTTTTTATGGCAGCAATTTTTTTTAATTTGAAGCAAATTTGCGGACCAAAGCTAGTAAACATACATTTATAAATTGCAATACAAAGCCTACTGCCATATCTCTAAACCCAAATGTACTGCAATTGGAGAAAAGAGAAATATTTACATACTTACACCACTATTCTTAAATCTAAATTTAATAAAAATAAAACTTCATTCCATGTCCATCGCTATATCAGTGAACTTACGCCGCACATAAAGAAAATTTTGCAAGTATGGTCATAAAATATTATGATTTCTTGGAGATGGGGTATATGGAAAATCGTAAAATACATAGCAAATTAGAAGCAGTCGGTGAATAAGAGTTAATCGCATATGTATCAACGACTGAAGTTAAAACTTATTATAAAGTAATTTCATAAAATAAAGTTTTCAATAATTAAACGATCAAAAGACGTCTTGCTTGCAGTACGCTATTTTAAAATATTGAATTTGAAGAATTATTTGACATGACATGGATGAGATATATAATATATTAAAACTACAAATATGAGTGAATAAGAGCATGGAGCCTGATTAGAAAAACCAACAATATTAACCATAGTTTACTACAACATTTTCACGATTATTTCTGCATTATACTTGCTTCAAAAATTATTTGTGAAGATAATAAAATACTAACAGAATGTGAATTAGTAACAAAAATAAGCAGTTAAAAACAAATGATCTATAATTCGAGTATGGCACATTTTACGACATGTACGGTCATTAGGGTGTGAAAAAATTTTACGGGTGTAGTTGTTGGACACAGAATCTTAGGAAACTCCCGATTTTAAAGAATAATGCAATAGAACACTCTGAATTAGAAACAATGGCTATAATGAAATAAATCTGTATCAATTGAATATTCGGTAACTATGGCACAAAATGGCATACTTATATTGCTCAAGAAGGGATACGCAAGTCATCACGATGATGATAGATGGGCATGCGCATGAATATTATTACATTTGAGCAACTATTCAAAAAAAAAAAAATATATATATATATATAAGTATATTCATAAATGGTCACAAGCGAATTCTTTTGAAGTGTTTTATTTAACACATATACTTTTATTTAGATGCCAATAATATTAGAGTGATACAAATTTATTTGATTTTGTGTCTCTTTTACTTTGCTAAGCTTAGTAAATGAAATATGTACATATAACTACACCAGGCAAACGCGTTTTGCCGTATATGTATATGTATATATAAGAGCTGCTGGATATGGGTAAATAGTATATGCTCACAGCTAGTCAGAAAAAACTCTAAAAACAGAATTACATTATTACGGCTTAAAATTCAAATACACTCAGTGTCACAATATAGACCATTTCATCATTAAAATTTTACGTATTGGAATGTTCAAGCTAAAACCAATTTTTAAGGATCTTAATTACTTATGAAATACTGATTAACACTTTCGCAAATGTATTGCTTAAATCACCTTAATGTTTTTACCGACTAATTGTTCTAACTTGAACATGTATTTAACGAAAAAAGAAACGCTTTGCTATTGCTATGTATCATTTATATAAACCTGTATTCCTATGGCTTGCCATTTGTTGAGCAAAAATATTTAAGCTTTCGTTGTTTTTGATTGCGACTGCAGCGTAAACAATATGCAATAAAAAATATAATGAGAAGGAGCATACGGCTGCTGTGGCTACTGCCAATTCTAGCCCAAATGCCAAGTTGCTTCACTAATTATTTTTTAAGCTGTTTATGAGATGCTACATACAGAAAATAAGTTCATTGAGTAAACCAAAATCTATCAATTGGGTGCAAAAACTTAAAAAACTGAGGGGCGGGCGAGATGAAAAGTATATGAATTAAAATTATTATAAACATTTTAATAACCAAAAAGTACATAAATAGTACGATACTAAGGAGACTTAAGTAATATGATAACGAAACAATTCATAAATGAGTAGAGACAATAGAAAAAATGTGTAATAAGTAGTAATATTTCGTAAATATATGTAAATATTTAAAAAAAATATAGCTAATGAGGGAAGTCATTATTAGAAAGCGAAGGGTCAAACAAAATCTGCAAAAAATGTAAGTCCATGACTTGGAATAATGTAGAAGCCTAATTAATAATTCACATTACAAGCGCCAACATTATACTTAAAACGTCGTTAAATGGCTTGTGTTACATGAACACATTCACTACTTCGAAATATTTTCATTCTGATTACACCAGCCTTTACATTTTGATAGTATCGATAATAAATATGTGAGCAATGGCTGATTGAAAGAGATTAAAACATACAATTAACTCGAAAATACATAGACATATACAGTATAAAAACGTAAAAAATTAAGTCGATAACACTTAGAGCATAACAAAATGAAGCTGAATACAAAATGCTTTTTCATAAAAATCATTAAGCTTTATATATGTATTTGTAAAATATTAAACATACACAATATGTACATTCGGTCACTTTTTAACTCATACATGACATAATAAAACGTTCGTACACGTTCACTCTTTAATACTTATGTAAATGTAAAAAAATGCCATAATTTATGTGTTTAAGCGATTGTAAATGTAATGGCGGAAATTGTAATTAGCTATAGCTATCAAATTGCGTTAGATATTCTAATAAAACTAGAAACAAAAAATTTGATAAAAAAAATAGGAACAAAAAAGGCTTAATTTCTTAAGAAAAATTTAAGATATAAACAAATTTCATAAAATATATTAATTTCAATTGTATTACATTTATAAGAGCTTAATATGTTTTGTTAATGAAATCTGTGTGCATTCATCTCATATGCAAATATTTGAAACGGTTAAGTACTACATATATATATTCTTTAATATTTTATTAAACTTACCTGCAGCAATTACTACAACTTGTTATAGTATATACTCAAAAGGCCAGTATATGTACATATATGTATATGAATCAAACCTATGATTTTCGAAGTTGGTTTAGTCCTGTCGTAAAATTGGAATATTTCCAGCTCTCTCAAGCGTTTAAAGTTTTTATTATAATATGAAAAGCTTCAGATTATTTTGGTATTTTTAAACCTGAGCTTAAAACCTGCAATACAAAATGAGGTTTAACGGTTATAGTGGTTTTTAAAGACGCTATTGAAAATTTTGTCCATAACAATGAGTGTTGTATTTGCTTACAGAAGTATAAAGTGTTGATTTAGAAATGCTGTGACCCAGTATTTTCATTACACAGACCGAACTACAAAACCAATTTAAAGCTATTATAAAATTAATCTTAATTTATGAGTGTTTTCACCCAAATCAGAAAATCGTTGGTTCGAAGGATAAATGTTGATAACTTCAAGGTTCAACTAGTTATACCTAGAATTACTGGCATTTGAGTTTTCACTATAACCCAACATATGTATATGTTAAAATAATTTTCACAATCGTACTTACATAAGTATAAGTAAATATATATGGGTGTAAAAACTAATAATAGCGCATGAGTTATTAAGCTCGATATGTATATTTTTGTAATGCATTAAAAAAACTTTAAGGCAGAATTAAATATTACAAACAAATTAATAAATTGTTAAAATTAACAAAGAAGTCATATAAAAAACAGCTTCTAATGTACATTATGATAGTATTCGTATCACAAATGCACTGGCAAATTAAGAAATGGCATGAACCTTTAAAAAAGCTTAAACTGAGGAAAAATAAACTCTGCTACAAGAAATTTCAACTATAAAATTATATTTTATCAATTTATCTTAACACCAAAATATTTAAAAATCATCGCATTCATTTAATATGTAACTGGAAGCATATACCTTCTTAAAACTTTTAAATATTTAATATATACGCCTATGTACATGTATATACGCATCTACTTGTTATTTTCGCATTTTCTTTAAGGGCAACTCAACAACAAGTTTTCAACATGCTTTGGCTTTCAGCTATTAAGCGTTTTGGCAAGCGTTTTGGCATTAAGCGCTTTATTCAGTTATCATGCTCCTAACTAAATAAGGGAGCAAAGCTAGAAGGCCTGAAAAGCATTGTATGTGGTTGTATCCTTAATTCTTTCACAAGCTGAGGATATATACATACATACATAAGTACACATTCCAGAGCTCTCTGAAATTTGTTATATTTATTGCCGAGTTTCTCCTTTTTGTTTCGGTAGTCTCGATTACAAATAAAAATTTTTATCTCAATTAAATTTAAGAAAAAAATTAATTCCACTAATTATTTAAAAATAAATGATAATTTTCTGCCCTCAGTTCTGCCCTTAACAAATAAAACTCCACAAATTATTTGAAGATAATTGATTTAATTTTCAGTTCTCCTCATCGAAAATATTTACCAAATGCCAACGAAGGGTCTCTTTCCGAACAATAAATATTCGAAAAAAATTTTATCAAAGACTAAATTTATAGTAAAACTCTATTGAATAGCAACTTCCCCGGCTATACTAGGGTTTACATAATTTTTATATTTAAATGAGTTAAGATGTATAAAAATTACTATAGTTTCACTTGTAGCTTTCCTGTAGTTGTTTCAATGTCATAGTAGGGTAAAAAAGCTTCGGCCCATAATATACTTTAATTAATCGCAAATAATATGAACTATCTATCCCTTTCGCATCTTAACAATATTTTAAATTATACCCAGAATACACGAGAAAATGCCTTCATTAAAATATTTCAGTGTCACACCCTATTGATGGACATACATACATATGTATATTTATACGACGCATGAATCAAGGTGCAAAGATTTATAGATGAAATATTAGTCTTAGCAGTGAAATGATTGAAAGCCAATGCACAATAATATTTTAAATGTCATTTAGAAAAAATCCTAAATTAATCATAATATAATATTAGCAATAGTTTCTTAAAAAATATGTGAAAGTAATGAGAAATAGGCGTGACAGTTTAAAAATAAAATCATCAAATAATATAATAATATATAAAAAAATATTAAATTAGTTTAATATTGTAAGTAAGTACCGCTTTTTTAGTTTTTGAGAGTTGCGTATTTACATTTCTATATGATTTTCACAAGGAAAAACGTAAAATATAAATAAATAAGTAATGTAATCTAAAATATATACAAATATTAAAGCGAAATTTTTTTCACACTTTAGCTTAATAAATTGTAAAAAGGAGAACAAATAAAATAGATCTCTCATTGAATTTGTTATGCAAATGAACTCTGATGTTTTATTTCAATGAAAAAATATATAATAAATTATTATATGGACTCTGTTTGAAAGTAGTCAGAAAATCCGCAGCTTATTGTTTTTCCTTAGATATCGTGAAAATATCGTCCGAAATTACGGGAAAACAAATAAAGTGACATTTGAGCTCTTAATATTATTATTAAAGGAAGTCATCGACGATACATAATTACTGAAACGTGTTATAACAAGTGACGAAACATGAGTTTACGGATATCACGTTGTAACTAAGGCCAGACAAAACAGGGATAAAGGGATGTCCAACTTATTTTAGTGTTAGAGCACCTTAAAATGAGAATTTTTTATAATATTTTCCATTGTAGCCAGATTGGAAAAAATAATAATTTTTGGGAATTTAAATTATATTTGAAAAAATATTCATATTGGAATCAACTATGCTAGAAAAAAAATTAAAAAATATATATAAAACAAAATATGCGAAGAAACAAATTGTTGACCCTTGAGTAGGATTCGTAACCTCGTCCAAACATCCTGCGCTGTCTGTATATGTGTATACCACTGCGCTAAATTGGGCATTAAAATTAATTATAATAAGAGTTTGGTTGGATGTTATTATTATCCTCATATTACTTGCGCATATTTAAAGAGAATGTTAATGAATAAAGAAGGCGCAAATGTTATGTGAATATTCTCGAAATTGCCTTTCTTTCATTCGCATGTCCAAATATATGTATGTATGTCCCTCAATATGCCTTTTATAAAAAATCAAACAGTCGCGCAATCCACAAAAAAAATCGCACCATCATCGACCAATAAGAGT